CATGGAATTTATCTCGAGTGATCATGAGACGGTAATATCATATAAATCTTCAAACCTAGAGATATGAGTTGTTGCCTATGAATTGGCTATGCATTGATTGTACAAAAACGCATTGGTAACTCGATGCTATAAAACATGCCTTTGTGTATAATTCAACAAGTAGTAGAACAAGCATATGAGTTGAAGTTTATCTATTCCTTCTTAGATTAGAAGCGATATCTGGGCCCCTCGATGATTTTTTTGTGACATATGTACTGGGCCCAATCAGAACTAAATTGATGCGTTCGATTAAGTTCTATGTCGAACAAATTGGAAATCGGGAAGCAAACTGTTGGACAATAAGTAAGACTATGTTCCATGTATTTGTCCAGCTGATATCCAGAACAGAGGATTATATGATCACTTATCTTAAATGGCATATCATCATCATCTTAGTTCTATGAGACCTTGAAAGAGCTATGATTGCTGATCGGTTCCTGAAGTCATTCTTGAATTTATAGTTATTAGACTTATCCAAGTGGGAGACTGTTGGATTAGGTGTCTAAGTTCAAAACTATTTTTGGAATGTACTTGAGCCGGTTGGCATGGTCCATTTGGGTTGCATGGTATTGCAACACTTGGATAGACTAAATGAGAGAAAGGAAACTTAAGGTTTATTAATATATTATAAGTTCTAATATATTAATAATATTATTTAATTAGTATTGATCAAAGAATTAATTTGGAATTAATTAAGTGATCAAAAAGAGACTAATTAAATATATAGGATTGATTGTGTAAATCGTCTAGTCTTATCTAGTGGGCTAATGATCTATGGTTTGTATGGATTGGGCTACAACCCATAAGGTGATCCATAGATTGTCCATGGAGGTTACAAACCCATGGATCATGGAATATGGAAAGCCATGACAATTAGGGTTTACATGGTGTAACCCTACTTGTGTTACAACTATATAAAGACCCCTTGACTATAAAAAATCAGCACTACTACAAGCAAGTACAAGAGGGCTAGCCGAATTTTGAGTGTAAGTGAGCTTCTCTCAAATTTTATTCCAAGTAATGTGGTGTTGTGTGAGACATTTGAGGCATCACACTTGAGGTGTTAGGCTCACAAGGTTCTCAAGGAATCCAAACAACAAAAGATATGTTCTTCTGCTAGTTATTATGTTTCAAAGTTCCCCATGCCATGCTAATTAAGTAAAGAACCTTGGAAAAACAAATTTGCATGTATCTTAGTAAAACATAGATCCAAGGTTTCCAGGGTTGCATGTACACCTTAGGAGTGTTAGTATGCTCAAAACCCTACAATTATTTTGTATTGATAGCTCGAGGAGTTTTCAGGGCAACAGTTAGGGATTTCTTTTTGTGAGATTCACATTTGAGGTGAGTTTCCTCATTGGGCTTTAGTTGGTCTAAGGCACCAATGTCAGCCCTCTTTGATTATGTTAGGATGCTAGGAGTCTACGTAACCCTTGCATGTGTTATGTGTTGCTATGTATACCGGACGTGGCTCGATGCTAGGTAAGGCCTGAGGAATGGAACATATGCTAGTGTTTATGATCATTATGTGTATTAGCATGATTATGTGATATTGATTGTATGTGTATAGCAGGAGAGGCCCAGTGACAGGCGAGTCCTGAGAATAACAGATCTGTAAACCGAGTGGGGCTCGATGTCGGGCGAGGCCTGATGTCGGGCGGGGGCCCAGTATGTGATTTATTATGTATGGTATGGGATAGTTTGGGAAACTCACTAAGCTTTGTGTTTACTGTTTTCATTTTATGTTTCAGGTACTTCCGGTTGCAAAGGGAAGAGCTCGAGTTGACTTCATCGCACACACCATTGGGATTCCACATATGATATTTTACTCTGATTTTTATGACATTTGATACATTGCTTATTTTGAGATGTATGGTTGATATTTGGAAATACTATTTTATCTATTTTAAAAATGAAATTATTGGGACATTATTTTTGGGATGTTACAAGTTGGAACGGGTTTCCCAAATTACCCATACATGTTATTTGATATGCTTGAATCTGTGAATTTGTGAATCACATGCTAGTTAAGGCTAAGGATCTGATCAGTTTTGCATGATAGAATGCTAGGAGAGATGCCTTTGTACGCCTGTTGTATGAGCTTGTAGACTTGCATGCTAGTACTGATCAATCAGTGATAGGATGGCCTGATTAGGTTATGCTCGAATGTTGCTTGATTTGTGCTTTTAGGAGTCCTAAATAGCTTCAGCTAGCTAATAAATGAATATGATAAGTTACATATCATGTGAACTAAATAATTTTAGAAGGTTAGGTTTTAACTCTATTACGCAGCTCTTGTTTGAGTCCAACCTTTGTAGTGTGAGACCTCTCATTTGAAGAATTATCTAGTTTTAGTGATATGTGATGGTATTCACGAGTTAGTTAGAAAGGTGATAACGGGGATTCCTTATGCAGATGATGGCAGAGATTGGTGTGGAATTGCCTAGGAAAACCTAGGATAAGATCTAGTACCGGGAGCCTTATCTGTGAGGGATGGATATATGGATTTAGAGCAACCTGGTTGAGTCAAAGAAATTCTTGAGGAGAGTACAAATAGATGTGGAAGGTAGTATGGGCCCGTACTACTGGAAGCAGAGGATCCGTACTCGATTCAAGGAGGGCTGCGATAAAATTAGGAAGCTTGTAGGGTTGTGATTTCCCGATATATTTTGATGTGTATTCTGATAGTTTTTGTGGTCTATTTTCAGTATGGTAGTATTGCAAGGCAGACCAGTCGGCAGCTTTGGTGCCAGTGAGGGTTCAGGCTTAGGATCTGAAGTTGGGCAGCTCAATGATCAGAATAGGGAGTTTCTCTCATCAGATATTACTTGTTGCATTCCCGATCAGACTCCTATGATCTTCGGCTCGGTCAAGGAGGGTATATTGGAGGATCGATTGAGCTCGTTTCGTTCTGAGATGATGGCTATTGTAGGAGCTCGATCTTTTAGATTTAAGGAGTTTTGGGCTTGTGGAGCTCCAGACTATCATGGGGAGAATGACCCTACTGCGAGCAGGCGTTGGTTAGCAGATGTTGCTAATACTTTCCGCACCAGTCGTTGTCCTGACGGGGACAAGGTCAGACTAGCTTCCTGCCTTTTGAAGGATAGAGCTCGAGACTGGTGGGAGGAGGTAGGTAGTGTTGTGGGTGATGATGTTGTTGATGGGATGACATGGGATGATTTTTTGACCAGGTTTCGAGCTGAGTTTGCACCGATTATTGAGGTGCAATAGTTGACGCGAAAGTTCCAGGATCTCCGCCAAACTATTGAGATGATGGCTGAGATTGTCGCTATGTTCAGGGAAAGGGCGCGTCTCGTTCTATAGTATGTGGCGGGCGAAGAGATGAAGAAGACCCAATATCATGAGATGTTGAAGAGTGACCTCCGACAGTTTGTGAGCCGATCCAGCTGCAAGACGCAGAAGGATATGATAGCTCGAGCCATGGAGAGGGAGATTGAACTGGAAATGGAGAGGAAGAGGAAGCCATATAAGGTGCATGACATCAGGGGGTTCATGCAAGAGGTTTAAGGTATCAAATTCCAGATCGAGGGGCAATCAGGGTCGAAGCCGCTGTGGCAAGTGCGGCAAGACGCACGAGGGTTCATGTAGTAGTGGTAGTGGTGGTGGTTTTGGCTGCTTCAAGTGTGACCATAGTGGTCATTATAGCAGGGATTGTACTGATACCACCACCCAAGGATCAGATCTGATTTTCTTTCATTGCAATCAAATGGGCCACAAGAAGGCCTAATGTTCGAGTTTGGCTGCAGCAGGACCGGTGTCAGCACCCGCTCCTACGACTTTGAGGATTATTGACGTCCGTTGGGGCCGAGCAGATGCGCTTGCGGCGAAGAGTAGGGCTTTCCAGCTGGCGGCATAGGAAGCGCGTGCAACTCCTGATGTTGTGATGGGTATGTATCTTCTCCTTATCTATTTATTTATATTGAATTGTTGCTTATGTTTATGTGTTTTATTTTAGGATCGTTCCTTATAAACGGTATCTCTGCTTTGGTATTATTTGATTCGGTGTCTACCCGATCTTTTGTGTCGCTTGCGCTTAACAAGAGATTTGTTGGAGCTCCGAGGGAGCTGGATCGTCCTCTTGATATGGAGATTGTTGATGATAGGATAGTTAGGGTTGCGAGAGTTCATCGGGGTTGTAGTCTCCAGTTGTTCAGCGAGCGGTATTAGATTGATATGGTTCCTATTCCTATACATGAGAACAAGGTCATTGTGGGTATGGATTGATTTTTTAGTTTTTTTAATTTTACATAACGATTCATATTATTATTTTTTTCATTACTTCAACTATTTTAATATTATAACATTAAAGTATATCTTTTTTATATTTATAAATTAACTTATTTTTTTAAATATATATATTTTTTATAAATAATATGTTGATAAGACCATATTAATAATTTATAATAACTTATAAACTAATTTTTAAACAAACTATTTTAAAGTAACTTTTTAATAAACTACCCTTTTTCTTTAACATTCGAAACACATTTTTATACTCTTGACTATAAAAATATACATATTTTTGTCATTTTGTTAATAATTTAATATAACAAACTTTGCATGTTTTAACATTTTCCCTAAAATTTTGCCAACTAGTGAATAATGGTATGGCAAAGAGTGGATAAAACAACTTCCGACCCACCCAGTCTTTCATCTATTTAATCAACCCCCCTTCACATATCCCATTTCTCTCTTCTCTCTCTCTCTCTCTCTCTCTCTCTCTCTCACGTCAGCCACCACCACCCACCGCCAGATCTTCAAATCGAAAAGCATCTCCTCTATCTCTTCGGCCACCGATTCAGCATTTTTCAGCTGCTGATTGCAAAATTCAGTGGTTGAACGTTTGCTTGTGTCGAAGAAGATAGTGGAGGTGCCAAGCTTTTTTCAGTTCACGGTGGCGGTGGCGTTCGACTTCTAGGTTTAGGGTTTCCCTGAATTGGATGAGTAAGGTGGTGGTGGTGGTTTCTTTCTTTGTTTCCAGAGAGATTTTAGATTGTGTTAGGGGAGAGTGTGGTTTGGTGATTCATAGTCGCGGTAGGTGGGATAAATGTGGCTGATTTAATTATTCCTTTCCCAATTCCGGCATCAATCGCTACTACCCTTTTGTTCTCGTTAGGTTTTCTTTGATTTTTCCTACTATTCCGTTAGTTTGTGGGGTTCTCTTGATCTGATTTCCAGAAACAGGAATTACACCTTGTGAGATCAATCTCAATTTTCGGACGATTACGATGCAACAAGATCCGCGCAGAAAGGTTTAACTTCATTCAACTTAATTTTTCTTTCGATTCATCTTCGTGCTCAATTTCATTTCCAATTTTGTAATTTCGAACATCAGAGATCTAATCTGTACCCTTTCAACTGAATTTTGAAACTCAAGCGGTTATAAATTATAATTGCCAGTTGATAGAAATTTTAAGCTGGAACTGCACTATAATTCGGTCTTGAAATTTCTAACTTCTAGAGGTCAATGCCTCCGATTCTTTCCTAACATAAAATCGCTTATCATTTGAGATTTCCAACTCCAATTATGCATCAACGAGTTAAGTATCTATGATTTGATCTTGTAATTGTTACTTTACAGAATCCAAAAGAGGTTGAATTCTTCACGGAGTATGGCGAATCAAATCGATACAAAATCTTGGAGATCATAGGGAAGGGAAGTTACGGAGTCGTTTGTTCAGCTATCGACACACACACCGGGGAAAAGGTTGCAATCAAGAAAATAACCGACATTTTTGATCATGCATCCGATGCTATTCGAATTCTGCGTGAAATCAAATTGCTAAGGCTTTTAAGGCATCCTGATATTGTTGAAATCAAACGGATCATGTTACCACCATCAAGACGAGCCTTTAAAGATATTTATGTAGTATTTGAACTCATGGAATCCGATCTTCACCAAGTTATAAAGGCCAATGATGACTTGACACATGAACACCATCGTTTTTTCCTCTATCAAATGCTACGCGCTTTGAAGTATATGCATACAGGTAAAAACTTATTCTCTGAATAAAATAAATCAAGTTTTAAAAAAAATCTTCAAGAAAACGATGGCCCACTTGGGAAAATGACAAGAAAAAGCAAACGAGAGTAACAAATTTGTAAAAAAGTTAAAAAAAGACTTTCTTTTAAGCCGTTTACTTTCTTTTTTCTGTATTAATACTGATAAACCTACGAATCTTTATGGATTCAGCAAATGTTTATCATCGAGATCTTAAACCGAAGAACATATTAGCAAATGCAAATTGTAAGCTCAAAATATGCGATTTTGGATTAGCTAGAGTCGCATTTAATGATGCCCCACAAGCCGTTCTTTGGACAGTAAGTTTTATTTTTTTTATTTACATTTTTAAAAATATACATTTAAACAAGGGCATTTTCGTAATTCCTCAGGATTACGTGGCAACAAGATGGTATAGAGCACCTGAGCTATGTGGATCATTTTCTTCAAAGGTATATTATTATAGCTGTTGTTTTTTAGAATGTAAAAAACCTCATGCTCTTATTCTTTCTAAAAGATCTTGAAAAAACTAGTTAATTTACTTTTGTTATGGTAAATGAAAGGTTAGAAAAGCTTATAGGTTATTTTGTAAAAATTACTCATATAACCTTATGTGGAGCATATTTTGTGTTTTTCAGAGATGTATGCTGCTGCATGGGAAAAAGAATGATTCTTGAGAATTGAGATATGTCAGTAAATATATATGATTATAAAGTTCTTTGAGTCAATCTTGAACACTGTTGATTCCATTTCTATCTGATTTTAGTTAGTTTTAGATTTGAATCAATCTTGAAGTGCTATGATGAATGCTTTTATGTTTTTCTGATATCCCAATTTTGTGTTTTTCTTTTTTTAATTTATTTATTAATTGTGAACTTTTTAATTGCAGTATACTCCAGCTATTGATATATGGAGCATAGGGTGTATTTTTGCAGAAGTATTGACTGGAAAACCGCTTTTCCCTGGTAAAAGTGTTGTTCATCAGTTGGAATTAATAACCGATCTTCTCGGGACACCATCAGCAGATACAATTTCTGGAGTATGACTCTTTTTATTTTTTTTAATCATTTTATAAAAACTTGTGTAGTGGAATCGGGAAAGGAATGGAATGTTTCATTCCATTGGAATTAAGAAAAGTTGTTTGTTTTGGATGATGGAATGGATCATTCCATTCCTGAAGGAATCTGATTCCTACCATTTAGTTAATTTTCATTACTTAGGTGTTGGAAGTTTTTTTCGTTTCATCATGGAATGGAATTAAAAAAACCGGGGTATAACACTATAACCCATTTTATTCAAGAATTTCATGATTGTTAATTAGATTAAAATCTTATTTTATAAAAGTAACTACTGTTTTTTTTTTTTTTTTTCCTTAATTATGATTTTATTTGGGGTTTTAATGAAATTTCATAGTAACTAGAAAAATGTAATGAGAGGTTTTATCATGGTTAATTTCTTTGTCTTTGTTTTGTAAACATGATTCTTATTTTATCTACTTTTTTATCCAACATAGGTTCGTAATGACAAGGCAAGAAAGTACTTAATGGACATGCGTAAAAAGCAACCCGTTCCATTTTCACAAAAATTCATAAACATCGACCCTTTAGCCCTTCGCCTCTTACAAAGAATGTTAGCATTTGATCCAAAAGATCGCCCAACTGCCGAAGAGGTATATTTCATCATCTTATAATATTATATGTGATTGATGACAAACATACCATGTAAATATAAGTAGTTTGAATATTTTATATATATGTTTTTTTTAATTAGGCTTTAGCGGATACGTATTTCAAGGGGTTGGCTAAATTGGAACGTGAGCCTTCGTGTCAATCAATCTCAAAGATGGAGTTTGAATTTGAGAGGCGAAGGGTTACAAAAGAGGACATTCGGGAATTAATATTTCGAGAAATTCTTGAGTATCATCCTCAATTGCTAAAAGATTATATGGCGGGAAATGAAAACACAAATTTTCATTATCCAAGGTATTATAACAATAACATGTTTCCTTGCTTGTATTTTTGTGGGGACTAACATTTGTTTTTTTTGCTTCTGTGTAGTGCTATCGGTCAATTTCGTAGGCAATTCGCGTATTTAGAGGAAAACGGCGGGAAAAGTGGGCCCGCTATGCCTCTAGACCGAAAACACACATCCCTACCAAGATCTTCGGTTAATTCAAGCATGATTGCTTCTAGACCGCAACAAAACACAGTGTCATTTGACAATAGACGAGTAATAGATAACACAATCACTAGCACTAGCAGTAGAGTAACCGATACTCCCGGAAACGTGCCACCTTACAAGGCGGCCGCCGCCACTACTCGGCCGCCACCCAAGATGCCAACGCCCACCATCGGTACATGATCTTTCTTCATTACAGTCATATATCCGTTTGCCATATCCCATAATCATGATATTCAACAAAATCTATCTGTCATATCTCATAGTCATAATATCCAACAATATCTGTCTGTTATATCTCACAGTCATAATATCCATCAATATCTGTCTGTCATATCTCATAATTATAATATGTAAAGCAATATCTGTTTGTCATATCTCATAATCATAATATGTAAAACGATATCTGTTTGTCATATCTCATAATCATAATATGTAAAAATACTGATTTTCATTTGAAGGTAATCAAGGAAGAGCGATAGGGCCGGTGGTAGCTTATGAAGAAGTGTACGACCCGCGTGTCATGGTTAAAAATACGGTTGCACCACAATATGTATATATGACAACAAACGGGCCGGAACCCGTTAGGGACCCGATGGGTCCAAGCCCACACCCATACCAACAACCAAAATTGAGTGGGGGGATTGTGATTGACCTAAATAGTAACCCGTATTACACCCAACCACCACATGGGCACCATGTGGTGCACACACATGGACACGAGGTGCACCCTCAGGGTCAAACACAGTTCGGTCATGTAACCGCTAATGCGGCTCATACTGTTGTTCAAATCGGACTTTCTTGAAACATGTTTTATATTCGGGTCAAGTCGGGTCGGGTTGGGTTATGGTAACTTTGGAAATGGTGTTTAGTTGCTAGTTTCTTGTCTTGTAAATGATGAACTCCTTTTAGTGATGAAAAATGAAAGAGTGGTTTTGTTATTGCCTTTTGTTATGTGTCCATTTCAATATGGTTTTTGATTTTTTGAGATGATTTATATTTATACAAAATGGACGCTTAGGATGTGATTATACTGAAAAGATAAAATGCATAAAATAGATCTACTTTGTAACGAAAATAAATCTATTATTTTTCCCCGTTTTAGGTCATCAATCTACTCCTCTTTTACTAAAATTGGTGACCTATTTGTGTTAGATAGCTTACACAAGAATAAATTAGAGCTGAGTCGTTACTTTCAATTAAAAAAAGGTAAATGAATAAAATTTTCACGAAAGTAGGTTGCATTTGTCCCTTTGAAAATTTTGATATGTTGCTTAAAATACAGGGAAAAGGATACATTGCATGAAATAGAATGAATTTAGTATTTTGGGAATTATCATAGCTTAATAGCCTTTAATGAGAGAATTAACGAAACTAGAAAAGATCGTTTTAACGAAAAAAAAGGTTTGAAGATCAAGCAAACTATAAAAGGTTGAGGGCATTCTAGACCACTAGAATGCCGTTGCTTCATTTTTCTATCTTCCACTCTATCAAAAAGACAAATCCCACATTTAATAATTGAAAAGTTCTGAAAGGAAAAAAAGGAAAAAGAAAAAAAAAAAAAAAGGACAGCCATTAACATTTTCTTTATTCAATTGCCGACATGTCATTGCCGGCGGCGTTAAATCTATTCCAAAATAATGCTTTTTGGTTGATTAGTCGACATTCTAATTCAAATGATTCCATCGAATCGAAAATTACACCGTAATTACTTTTGATCATTAATAATTATGTATAATTGATATGAAAATAATATCAGCATCTAGATCATATTCAACTCAAATCTTTAATTCAAAGTTCATGTTACTAGGCCAACTCTGACCATAAAACACTAAAACACCACTAAAATGGTCTCCAATCACACATTAAAAGTTTACATTAAAAACATATTTTGATAATATTATAATAAAATAACATTTTCTTTATTATCATATAATTCTATTCAACTTATATGAAGACACTTTATTGAATACATTAATAAAAATAAATAAAAGTGATTTGGTGTTGGGTGAGATTCACCGCAAAATATGACGGCCAAAATTTATCCCACAAAAATAGCGGCCATTATGCTGGATAATTGGAACATGATTTTCCATCATTTTACCGGTTTGTTAGAGTTGATCTTAGGAGATCCGTCTTAGAGAGATATCCCTAACAACACCATCCCTCCCAGACCCAATGCCATTGATTCCGAGAACCTTACCTTTGGTGGCAAATCCATCAACCTGAAGTTTTTATGACTCCAATACACCCTTGCGCTTGAAGCTTTCCTTACGGTTTGCCGTTTTCAATTCCAAAACCATAGTTTAAACAACACGACACCACATTATATATATATATATATATATATATATATATATATATATATATATATATATATATATATATATATATATATATATATATATATATATATATATATATAGGTTCAAATGTTTCTAACAACTATTGTGTGCATGAATACACCAATAGGAATTTAGGAATAATTAAATAATTAAAAATTGTAATAAGGGTAATTATGTAACTTTAGCATGATAATTAAAATAAAATCCCTTAATTCATGTAAATAACCATAAAAATCTCTTTGACCAACTATTAAACCCTAGCTTCTCATATCATACGTATTCTACTTATGCATCTTCTATAGGCAGCCACAAAATCGTATCCTTACCCTTCCATTTACCTTCGGCCGCATCAGTTGAGTTTTGATGAACATGTCGACCATAACCCTGCTACAACCAACAAATGTTACAAGACTGAGGGAGTGAATGATAATCAAAATACCAGCACCAGTAGTAACGAATTCAAACGAATTCTATTTCTCAAGACACCAAAAAGGTTAGTTATATTTCCTCTATATCTTATTCAGCTTAATCGATTTCTTCCACCTTAATTTTTGATTCGTTGGAAGTTTCATCTTTGAAGAATCGAGACTTATTCACTTTGAGTAAAAAATGATTTATGATTATGATTGAGTATGTATCGATTGATTGGTTTTGAAATTGATTTCTGATTTTGCACCTTGAATCTAATTGCTATATGAAATTACACATGATGTTTACCTGTATATGGTACCCGCCGATTCATGGAAGTGATCAGTCCAGGGATGTAACATCGTGTTTTGAGAAGTTTCATATTTTAGGATTGTGGACTATAAATGGATTGATTAAGGCCTTGGGCTTCAAGGGAATGGGGTTTAGACCTTATTGGATGATGATAATGTTATTAAAGCCTTTGATTTGTGCTTGGAAGAAAAAGGGTAAAATGGGAAAACTGATATTCCAGACTTCTTGCATGGATTATGGTTTTAGTTCGACATGTATTAAGTAAAAAGTAATTAGATAGGGTTGTGAGGCTCATTAATACCTTTCACGTGCATATAAATATCGCCAAAAAATGGAGTTGAAACGAAGAAGTTATGAATATTTGAAGTTTGAATGGAATTTGGTGAAAGCCCATTCTCACGAGGTGAGAAATATAATCTCATAACGTGAGAACTGTGCAACCCAAGCCTATGAAGTTTTAGGGGTTTCAAGGTATTTAAAGGTAAGGATTCATGTTTTAGGGTATTTTCTTAGCCTCCATGTCAACTGCAAGTGTTCCATGTCAATTTCAAGTGCTCCAACATCTGAATTCTTCAAACACTTGTTGAAACTTTAGGATCTTTCCAACTTGATACATTTTGATAATGTTTGTTAGGGAGATACAGACATAAACTCAACTTATGTAAAGTGACAATCACATACAAATATTTTCCAACAATTTCCCCTTTATGATAGTTACTAAAATAAGGAGTAAAAATAAAAGTAATAACATGCATGATGAAATTAACAAAAAAATGAATTACTAGTAGCAAAAAGAAAACTTCATCCACATGTTGTAAAAAAATAACAAAAACACACAACTTAAAATTTGTTCCTTAAGTTTAGTAACCACTGTCGAAAACTTAGAAACCAAGTGATTTCTTGAATTATTTCACACTCAACGTATTATCTTGGTCTTTTGTTTTCTTCAACAAACCAATGACGCCTTGAATAAATTCTGAAGAGAATAGATGTTTCCGTGAGATTCTCATAAATCTCAATTGACCCTTAGATGAAAATACACTTCCTCTATATAGTTTTTTTAGTATGTTTATAGGTAACTAATTTTCCACATTCAGATCCAAATTTGGTTCATCAACTTCTTTTTCTCCAAGTTGTCCTATTTCTCAATCAACACTGAAATCCATAACCATATTCAAAACATATTGCCTCAAGCGCTGTAGGGCATCTGCATAAGCTTTATTAGTACTTGCCCTTTGCTTCAACCAACAAATCAGTGATTTGATATCAGGTTGATTTATCCTAGGCAAATCAGCTTCAGAAAATATGAATTCAGAGTTGTTTGTCCTTTTTCCTTGAAAGAATGCATATGACATCTTTTGAAATTCTCGGATGTCTGTTTTACTAATTGAAGCATTTTTGAACTTTGACCATACAGAGACAACTTGAATTGGTTTCTTCAATAAGAATCCTTTCTTCACTTCTTCAATGTCTATACCAGACTTAACTAGATATATTGCACTTGGCCACAAATTGAATTTTGTACCATTCGGGGGTGCATGGATATCCCAATTTTCTTTAGAGGAATCTGATAGAGGTGTAAAGGAATTTGTAGGCTTGATGACCTTAATCTTCTAATATGACTCTGTATCAGGATTGAATAAGATGATTCTTTTAGGAGATGGTGCTCGGAATTGTTTATCATGTCGTGTCTTTCTTTCTTCAAAAGAGATCTTTGAAGATTTCTTTCCAAGAAGCACCTTTTGTTTAGAATTTAACTCCTTAGTTTCAATTTTCTTTGCTAACTCTTCATCCATTTTCATTTGAGCTTATTTGGCTAATTCCTTCTTTGATTTGAAGTCAACATTTGTTTTCCTCTATCCTTAGGATCGATTTGGGGAATCTTTGGTTGCACGATTGGTTGTGATATAGTGACAAATTTGGTGATGTAAATATCTTTCCGTCTTGGCACCTTTAGTGCTGGATGCTTGATCCCTTGCTTTCGAATGAGTTCCTTTTCTATTTTTACCATTTGTACTCTGTTTTGTTGAGCTTTTAGTCTTGCTTCAACAACCATTTTCTTGATTGACTCTAATTTTTCATTTCTCCTTTTCTCAAACTCATTTGGTGAATCTAGAATCTGATGAATGATATGAGAATGAATTGATCTGGACTTGTCTACCTTTTCCCCCTCTGGTTTACGTGGCCTATCATTTGAACCGGATAACTTTGCTAGGATCAAGTCTAGCTTGGAATAAGATGAGGCAACTTTTTGTTGAAGCACACATATATTAGAAGAAGGAGATTATGACTTGATATCCTTGACTTCATTGACTAATAGCTGAACAGTTTTCTGAAGAGAAGAGATATCACCCGAGTTGTTATGGACCTTCTGAGAATTGGATTTAGAGAGATTTGAAATGTCAGAGCGCAATGAATCCAATTGAAGTTGAACTTGATCACTAACTGCTTGAAAGGGAATAAATGAAGATGATTCTAAAGCTTTAGAAACTTCTACAACTGACTTTACAAGAGTGGAAATATATTGGTCTTGAGTAGTGATATTACTCTGTAGATGATCTATTTTAGCTTCATAGACGGAATCCAAATTTGATAAAGACTGAAGAAAATCATTGATCTTCTAATACATCAGAGAGAGATGATCTTTGATGGTCTTTTGAATTTTCTGATGTAGAGTTTCGATCCACCGCATGTTACGAGCAATTGGTCCCTTGAGATATGAAGCCATGCCATGAAAGTATTCAATAGTGACCGACAATTTTTTTCACATGTGCATCGGTTGTCTCATTAATGATACACACTGTCTGCCATGCGTTCAAGATACCATTGAAATTTATCCAAATATTCAGAATGAGAGGATGTGTGAAAGCGGATTTCCTCAATACCGTCAGCTGCCATATGGGCAGTTATTTTAACATGTTCAGGCTCAGGTTCAGATGTATCTGCTTCATTTGTATCTACTGGAGTACCATCATATCGAGGAGGATCTGGTGAAAAAGAAGAGAACTTTGCTTCTTGAGTATCATCATTTTCTTAACACTCTTGTGGAGTTGAGGGAGAGTAATCATCAAGATCAATGTTGAATGTCCTGGTAGACGCTTTAGAGTGTAGGATGATTGACATGTCATTTGGTTCATCATCAACTATCAGTCCTTCATTGGAAGGTATGTCTTCCATCTGCGTAGGAGTATCCTCATCTTGACTATCTTGTATTGGAAAGCTTTTAGTAAGACCTTCACGTTCGAATTGATTTTCACCGTCTTGGTCATTGTCCTCATTTGATTCGTCATCAACCAAGAAAACACAATTGCTTGGACCTTCTATATTCGATTGAAAGCATGCTAATGAAACTAGATCTGGGGATGATGATTTCAAATAATAAGAAAGAGCTTGAAAAAAGGAATCTAAAAAAGGCAGTGGCTTAAAGGTTGTACCAGATTTATGAGGAGATGGGGCTTATCTATATATGCTCCAAGATTATCTTCAGATACATCTAGAGATAGGATAGAAGACAATTGATCTTACTTTGATTGCTTCTTCTTCGTTACCAACTTCTTGCATGCATGATCTGAGTGCTTCCTTTTCCTTTTAGGAGACGGAGTAGTTTCTTTGATGCATTTCTTGATATGAGCACAAAGGGGCGCTGTTTTCACCTAGCTTTTCTAGGATAACGTCTGGAATGATGACTGTATGTGAAAACTCAGATTTAGATGCAGTACGAATCCGATATGATGACATATGCATGAATAGTGGCAGTAGGCCTTCTAGAATCTCCTATGGTGTAAGATTGCTATTATTTATGACATCATAAATAATGATGGACCACCAACAAGGATGATGAATCATGAACTTATTCTTTCAGGCAGGGATAAAGGTAAGCCAGTCTTCCCAAAGAACAAACATGTAGTTAACGTTGATATCATAATAAAGTCCATACATGCAAATCCAAATATTTGTTGAACCACGCCTTCGTCTACCAACTGACCTGAAAAGAGACTGAGTGAGGACAAAACTGAGAAAGTGCCATTATGTGGGAAGGCGAGCTTTCTTAATTCTTGAAAGGTTTGAATCAACTTTGTCTTAAAATTTCTACCCCATTTCCTTGAACATTGTGAACAGTTGAGCAAATGAAGGTGTGACAAATGTTGAAGATTCACGAGAACCATTGTTTAGACCTAAACAAGTTGCGGAATCTTCTTTACCTAGTACCAAGTTAGTTTGAAAAAGGCCAAATTCAACATCAAGCTCTTTAGGCTTTGCTCAAGGAGATATGATTGTAGATAGAAAGATTTCTGAAATAAGAGACTCTGGAATTAGAGAGGAAGCCGTGAGTGCATTTGCCAGTGGGAATTTTTGCAAATATTCAGCAATGACACCGACTTCTTTAGGTTGTTCCTGAGGTTTAACAAGTGCAATATAGTTGGACGCAACCATAGCGAGACATGGTAATGAAGTGCCTGTTACAGTGGAAATTCTAGTTGCTTGAGACTTAGATGCCTTATGAGAAGATTTTGCTTTAAAAGTCCGTACATCTTCTTTGGTAGCCATGTATTAAGTGAATAAAAGAAGAGAAAAAATTGGAAATAATTGTTAGTTAAGGATAGCTAGAGAATAGTAGCTTATAACCTTAAATAAATTTCCAAAAGAAAGAGGGGAGGGGGGTTGGAGAAAAAAATGTACGAATTTGCATTAACTAAAGTTATGACTTGAGTAGTATTGTTGATTTAACAATAGATAAGAGGAATCTGCAAATTCAAATTCACTAAGTATACACTTGAAAGTGACTGACATAACAAGTAGGAATAAAAGAGAAAGGATTTGATGTCATATAAAACAATTTTTTTGATATTACTAAATCATAGAAAAAGTGCAAGGATCAAGTAACACTGCTAAGCCATGGCTTATGATGACTATGTCATATCAAATAAAGATTTCTTTAGAAACTAACAGTAAATTAGGTATCATAGAGACATTAAGTGACAACTATATGCAAATCCAAGAACACATAGAAGAGTGAATGAATTTGGATAGAGTTTAAGATATATATATATATATATATATATATATATATATATATATATATATATATTAAAAGAACATGTATAAGACATGAAACTTAAGATCACAAAAGGATAAGAAAAGAGGCATTACCTTAAAGAAGAAGAGTGAAGGTAACAAACTTATGAGAATAGAAAAGCAAGACATGCACCAATAAGTATAATGCTCACAAGAGAGATATAATCAAAGGATCAACTCTAGTAACCTAGGCATGATATGTGAACATGAATCAATGATCAATAAGAAGAAATAAAGAAAGGAAAAAATTAATAAAAAGTTGATGCTCACCCAATATGATTGCAATAAGAAGAGGTGTTCACAAAGAAAAAGTAATAGGCCAATACTTGGGGAACCTAATCATAGGAACGGATGCATGGACTAATGAATACATGAATCATCAGCAAAGGAAAGTCTATATTATCACATGAGGTTATGTGATCAAGAAAGAGAGATATGATTTACCAGTTGATGTCTTATTGAATCAATGAGCAACACAAATATAAAGCAGTACTTTGACAATGACACTTGAGATATTTAAATCTATGTTATGTCAAGAGAAGCAAAAAAATTGAAAGTGTACACCATGATCATCATTGATTGTAAAGAAATAGAATTGATACTTACCTAGAGTGATCAAGGAATGTGATACTCAGCATGAGATAATGATGGACTACATGATGATAATAACTGAACACAGGATGATCCAACAATCAATGTTAACTTGACTATGATGTAAAAAACATATACATGTAACACATGATGATGCTTATGAAACTAACTTGTCACAACTAGGGTTTCACAAAAAGATTATGATGCTTACCTAGAATTTTAAGATGATCCATGAAAGAAATGAAGTTAGATTGATAATGCTCCAAAAAAACTAGGGTTTGACACAAAATTCGATCACTAGGGTTTTGAAAAAAGAAAAAGAAAAAATGATTAAAAAAATAATGTTCACCTAGGGTTTTGCTAAATGGCAAAATTAGGGTTTTGAGGCCAAGAGTTGATGTACACGAAGGTTGTTGATGTGCCAAGTGATTATGATGTTTAGGGTATGGAGCAAGTAGGGTTATTTTGGTTCTAGCTTGATGATCATGAAAATAATTTGATGGATGAACAAAAGTGAGATGTTGCTCACAAGGGTTGTTGATGCTCCAAGTGATTATCGATGTTGTTGTTGCTAGAGATTAGGGTATGGCACAAAATGGTTTACACAATGGTGGACCAACATGATCTCGATTATGGAGATGTGCAAAAAGGATGTTGTGCCAAGATGGCTTGATGATCGATAATGAAGGTGTATGGCGCAAAATGAGTTATGGCGCAAGAAGGAATCTTGGCACAGGAATGGTTTGCACTAGTTGGTGTACACGATGAATGATTGTAGGATGTTGCGCCAATGGAAATTGTTATTTGATTACATATCTGACTGACTATATTGACTGTTGAAAATGACTATTTTATTATTCTATTTGTTTTGTGATGAATAAAATCTATTTCTTTAATAATATATCTGAATAAATTCGATATATTTTTACAAAATATAGAAAATATCATACAAAGAGGGTATCATATTACTACACAATACCATATATAATACAATAGGAGAGAACTTAACTTTGGTCCTCATGCACTGAACCCTCGAATGCAAAAATTTTTAGAAGATCAATTTGAGGATTCCCTGTTCCTAGTTTAAGGTATATTAGTGATTCTTTCCTTAGCTTTTGAAAAATGTTGATTTAAAAGATAATTGTATGATTGTTGTTGCATTCCTACAAACAAAGCAAGCAAAAACGAATATGAAATTAGATTTTATCTAAGGTATGTTATTATTATATACTACACATGAATTTTAAGAAAGACAATGTTCTTGTTCCGTTCTTATGTGTTATTGATTAATTGGATTGTAGTAATTTATTCTTGACTCCCACTTTTTGATCTTAGCCAAAAGCTAGATTAATTTCTATTTTTTAAAGTGAATTTGATTTATAATTTTACCAGAGTTAAACCTTGATTATTGACAAACCACACACACTACTAGAAAAACAGCCTTTTACGACGCTCATTGCGCGTCGTAAAAGGCTCAGACGACGCGCAAATGCGCGTCAAGGAAGGCTCTGTCATAAAGAGAGACGACGCGCTTTTGCGCGTCATCTAGAGACGACACACATTTACGACACGCAACGCGTATCAAGGAAGGCCCTGTCATAAAGGAAGACCACACGCATTTGCGTGTCGTAACCTTACGACGCGCGTGTTAATGACACGCAATGCGTATCAAGAAAACCCTTATCAAGAAAGGCCATGTCATAAATGAAGATGACACACATTTTTGCATATCGTAATTTTAAATGTTTAAAAAAAATATTATTTATAGATTTACTAATTTTCAAATTAAATTTGCATTTAGTGTCTCATAATATAAAATAAAATATCATATACAAAAAATAATATCCATTACGTAAAATTTAATGTCATACAAATAATCATTCCATGGAAAGATAAAATAAATTAATAGAAGTTGTAACAGAAAGTTACAAACTAATAGTTCTAATAACCTATGTGTGCCTCACTATAAACAAGATTTGTACTGATGAACCCATCCCTGCTCACAGTATCTACATCTGTAGATGAACCCATCCCTACTCACAATATCTCCACTCTTCCTTAGTAACACCACTCAAGGAATCTAAATCTATGAACTTGCTCACAGTATCTACATCTACAGATGAACCCATCCCTGCAAGCATGAGGGCAACCTGGTCAAAATAACCAAAGGCAGAGTCAACAATATCATTATTATATAACTAAAAGAAAAAAAATAGAATTAAGATATATCAATAAGTCATAGATACATTTCCAGTTACAAATTTATATGAAATTCAGATTGATAAAAATGAGGATGTAATATAAATCTTTTAAATAGTGTTCCTTACATTAACTCTTTCTACTCTCTGCATTTCATCTTCAAGCAAAGATACTTGTGCAGCAGAAGTCCAATGAATGCAATCGACAGGGCTGAAGAAAATAATAATAATAATAATTTCTCAAATGCCTTTCAAAGATTCAAACTTATGTTTACTATAATGTATGCATAAAGATAAAATAACCCTAATAGAATAATGTCAAATTTGGTGTCAAATGGTGGAGTAAATCCAAATTTGATGTAAACATTTTTAAAAAAATTACCAGCTATCAATAGCTTGTTGAACTAAGTCAGTGCTTCCTTGCTGTTGATTACATACTCTAGCTCTACCAAAATCCTCCTCTATCATGAACACGTATGAGCAAACACTGGCATAATTTTTGCAGCCTATCATAAACAATAATAAATTAATTAATTAACTATATGTCAAGATATTCTAGACAAGTAAAGTTAATTGTTTATGTAGAGATATTATTCTACTAACAAACTAATATGTTGATAGTAGGACTTAGAGAAAGGTATTTCAGTCATTTAGCAACCAAACATGTCATATGTAACAAAATGTCAAAAGTACCCTTCTTGCATAATGTAGTAAAAGCAAGAACATGAACACATACCTATACGGCAAAATGTCAAAAGTACCCTTAGCAACCAAAAGGTTTGGGTAGATTTGTTTCTTTTTTGTAGATTTTTTCGACCCATAATTCAGTGCTTGTCTTGTTCTTTTTACCCTTCATTGGTTCACCTAAAGGGGTTCTCAGATACTTTCCAGCAAAAGCTTCCACAAACTATATACAAAAAATTCAAATTTTTAAATAATAAATAATTTTGAGAATCAAAAACAAGTAAAATGACCATATTGACCTCATATATCTTTCGAATCCTACGAAGGGAGGAGTCTACACGTGCGTAAATTGTATTTCTCTGTCACCAAACACCAGGGTAAGAAATGAGAAAACATAGTTTAGTTAATGAGAATTTATAAATTTATTATTATTATTAGTTATTAGTTATTACCAATGTGACATCTTGAAGGAGTTGACTAAGTTTGGAGACATTGGAAAAATGGTCCAAATGGATGACAGCCAGCTGCAAGGAGCCAATTTACAATGGGTGTTTTGTGAATATGAGAAACTCTTTCACATGGAGCACTTAATCCACCTACTACTGAAGCAAGTCCAA